CGAGACTGGCACCCCAGGTCTTGTTCTCTTTAAAGAAGTGGAGCTGGTGACCTGCTCCCATAGTCTACACCAGGAAAATACTCACTAATAGAGCACGGATGCGGACGGCAGAGCCAGGATTTCAAGGAGAAATGAGGGCAACTCTCAACTTACAAGCTCCCCTGAGGAAAGGGTCACATTCCCATCAACCTCATCCCAATCTAGGCAGCCCTCCTGGCTCTTCTCAAAAACACTGGTCGGTCCCATCCTCCCTAACCCCGCTTCCACCAAACCACATACACCCTCTTGGCAGGTTTAAAAGAGTCTCACCTCTGCCGGGGATTTAGTGGCACCACGCCTGCCTCACAAGCACAAAGTCCTGAGTTGATCCCAGTACCGAAAAAAAAAGTCTCACCTACCTTTTTACACTCCAGGAGAGGGGTGAAAGGAAAGTCAAGTCAGGTATGGTGCACACACCTATAATCCCAGCTCCTCTAGAGGCTGAGGCAAGAGGAGTGCAAGTTCAAGGCCATCCAGGGGACCCAGAAAGACCCTGTCTCAAAATGAATTTTTAAAAGGGCTATGGATGTAGCTTAGCACTAGAGCACTTGCCTAGTGCTATGGTTTGTGTCTAGATATCCCCCTAAAGCCTCATGTGGTCACAGGCTTTTTCAAAGGTGGCTTGATTTAGAGTATGTGATGCTGGAATTGACTCAAAATTTGTAATGCTACGCTCAAGGGCACTAGGATCAAGGGTGTGAGTGCTACCTGCCCTAAGTAGTCTGGACAAGATAAAAGGGGCAGAAAGACTGTTAAATTCCCTTGTTAGGGCCGGGGATTTAGTTCAGTGGTTCTGGTGCCTGCCTCGAAAGCCCAAGGTCGAGTTCAGTCCCCGTACCAAAAAAAAAAAATTTCCCTTGTTATCTTTGCTGTGTTCTGCCACCATCCACCATGAACTGGTGCCCCTCTGCCATGTGTCACCCTGCCTTGGAGCCAGCCAATTATGGTCTGAAACCTCTACAAACTGTGAGCTTTCCCCTTTAACTGAGTGTTGGGTATGGTTGTCTTAGCAACAAGAGAAAAGTTAACACACCTAGCATTTATAGCCCTGGTTCAATCCCCAGTCTAAACAAATAAACAAACAAACAAACAAAACAAGGGAGTGGAGGAGAGTGCAGGAAGTAGTTTCCCCAGATAACCTTCAACCCTTCCTTCTTGTACCCCCAGGGCAGGATAAAAGGGCTCACCACAGCAGGGAGGCTTCCTGGAACAATCCTGGGCTAGGACACCCATCCTGAGAAGGAGGGAGTCGGGGTGATTTGCACAGAACTGTGGAGATGGAGCAGGGCATTCCTTCCCAAGTTAGCAAACCTTGGCAATCAACAAAAATTCCTGAATCACCTAGGAGAAAGGAATGGGTGTGGTGCCTCTGCTTTCCACCATTGCTCTTTCTTCTCTTCCCAAACCTGGACCCTGGCGAGGGTGTGTGGGGTGTGTGTATGTGTGAGTGTGTTTTTAAATTTTATTGGTACATTTTAGATATACATAATGATAACATTCATCATTGGGAATTTGTACCTGCACATGATATATCTTGCCTGGTCTGTGTTCTATTCTTCCCTTGGCCTGGCCACCTGCGAAAAGGCTCAGGCCTGCAGGGGCTGATGGAGAAGGGCTAAACTTGAGTACATCCAAATCCTTTCAATGCATACCTCAGGAGAAGCTATCCTTCTGGAAGCCTCCAGAACAATTTCTGCAGCTCAGAACTCCAGCCAGTAACTGGCCCAGCCCTGGTACTAAACTACCAAACTATTAGCTCAGTGGTTTCGCCGCCTGCCTTGAAAGCACAAGGTCCCAAGTTCAATCCCCAGTACCAAAACAAAACAAAAAAAACCATGACTTGACTTAAAAATACAACATTTGGGCCAAGGATTTAGCTCAGTGGTTCCGATGCCTGCCTCACAAGCGCAAGGATCCATTTTCGATCGCTTGTGCCAAAAAAAAAAAAAAAATCCAACATTTATCCTCACATCATCTAATGACAGAACAGAGAAGAGAATCAACCCAATGGCCAGCACTGTAAGCCTGCAAGACAAGCCCAAGGAAGCCAGATGGTGAACTGCTTCCCTAGAAAGGAAAGCTGCAAGCAGTGTCTGTGGATTTCTGCAGACACAACCCAACAGGATTCCAGGGCTTCCATACATCTGAGGGCAGTGGCAGAGTGGCTAGCACACTAGGATGGGCTTTCTCTGAAGCTCTGACACACAGAACAAGCTACAGCCTCTGAGAATGCTGGGAGACTTCTGGGACTTGAGGTCCCAGAAGCCATTTTCCTTTAGAGTGCGCCCCTCCTCAGGCCAGTGGTTGGAGTTCAAGAGCAGCTTGCTCACTCAGAGTTACACATGCGGGTGCAGATGACAACAAGGTTCTCTGTCATTAGGCCCCATAAGGTGCCAAACCTCCTCTGTTGGGCTGGTAAGGCCTTCAGCTGTCAACTTTCAATCCTCATGCCCCACTTATGGTGCCCAGGTAGAACGTATTACCTCTGAGACCAAGCATCATTGTAAGGTGACAGTTCAGACTGCATACGTAGAGGCCCACACGTAGAAGGGCAAATTCCTCTAAAAGGCTCCAACATTAGCATCATGGTAGGGACAGCAGGCTGTAACTGATGGCTTGACCTAACTTTTTTAATCCATCCTATCCCCATGTTTCCCTAAGGCAGTGGTTCTCTGGATTTCTTGTGACTTCATCTGTATGTCTGGCATGCAATGCAGGCACTGAGTGTGCAGGGTAGGAGCAGTTTGAGAGTCTGGAGACCTGTCTGGCTCTAGGGCTCTGCCAATGCCAGGCAGGACAGAGCTGGTGCTGCAGGCTGGAAACTTAACTTTATAGCCAGGCTGTTATCTACTTCCTTCATCAAGATCACATGACTTCTAAGTGTGTTTTGGGGTTTTTTCCTCCAAATCTAGAACAATCTTTTCCCCAACCTACCAAAAAAACTTCCATCAACCAAGCCAACTTCTTATCAGTTTCTATTCTTGTGGCCCAGTGGGAGGAAGGAACTAGGTGGGGAGAGTTCTACAGTTCCTGCCAAAATCAGATGCTGGAGAACAACCAGCATTCTGTATGGCAGCTTGTAGGCTACACTGGGCCTAAGCAGTGTGTTAAGAGTGAATATATCACAAGGCTTACTGAGAATAAGGCCACACTCCTAAAAGGCAGTCATGTAGATGCCAATCCCCTGAGGGACCAAGGAAGGAGGCAGGATCCACACACAGAGTCAAAGACCCCTGGGTTGAGTGGAAGATATAAACCATAAGCAAGGACTCATGGTGGTGTGCTTAGACAGAGACACAGGTCAATGCTACAAGGCCAGAGGTTGTGGCAAAAGAGCATGCTGAATTATGGTGACCCTACTGGATGGCTGGGGCAGGAGGATTATGAAGTGTGATGCCAGGCTGAACAACTTGGCAAGACCCAATCTCAAAATTTTTTAAAAGGGCTAAGGATGTAGCTTAGTAATGCTTGTTTAAAATCCATGAGGCCAGGCCAGGGATTTAGCTCAGTGGTTTCGCTGCCTGCTGTGCAAGCGCAAGGACCCGAGTTCAATCCCTGGTACCTAAATAAATAAATAAATAAAATAAAATAAAATAAAATCCATGAGGCCTTGGGTTCAATCCCCAGAGCAATAACAATAGAAAGGCCCTAATGCTGGAGATTTAGCTCAGTGGTTCTGCCGCCTGCCTCGCAAGCGCAAGGTCCAGAGTTCAATCCCCAGTACCAAAAAACAACAACAAAACAACAACAAAAAGGCCCTAGAGGCCCTCTCCAAGGAATGGTCTAGCACAACAGGGTCCAAAAGCCCTGGAAACAAACCAATAACCTGTATTTTTCGAGCCAGGCTGTTTTTATTCTTTGTACACCCTATCTTTAGCTTTCTTTTGTTCTCCTTTTATATTTAGTAATGTCTTTCGGAAAGGTCAGCCTATGGCAGCTATGCTAATGGAAACCCAAAGATGTCTGCATCTAGGCTTGGACTAGAACAGCAAAGAGGGGCAACCCCACCCCACCCCTCAGTCATGTCCCTGGGAATGGAGGTAGAGAGAAGCAGGGTAAAAGAACAGAGAAGACTGGGGTTGGGTCCCTTGCTCAGTCATTGTGTCTCCTAGATATCTTTCAAGGACAGCCTGGTGCCATCTGGTAACTTCCAACACCAATCCCACAGGTGGCTTTGGGAAGCAACCCTGTCTTGTACCCTGACTTTTCCCTGTCATTAGGTTCAGCCCCAGGAGGCGGGGGTAGGGGACAGGGCGTGAACTTGAGAGCCCAGTACACACTTGCTTTCACTTCTCTCTGGTTGAGCAACTTTCCTCTTCACCGAGGAGCTGATAATACCCTGTGACCCACTCAGGGCTCTGGTTGCTAGGTAATCAATTTACCACCTCTGGAAAGTGGCAACATCAGCTGCTATGTAGGTGCGAAGGGGGGCTTCTCTTAGCGCAGGCTGCCTCTGACCCTCACCTGAGGTGGAGTGTCAGGGTGGGGGAGCCAGGACCTTCCCTGTCCCCAGTCCCCATCTTCAAGGATGATTCATCCTCCTAGATCCAGCTTGAGTTTTAAGCTCCCTGCCAAGATGACATCCATCATGACATGCACCAATGTGACCAGCTTTGCGGGAATGGGGGTGTGTGTGTGTGGAGATCTTGATTTATTACAATGGCCCCAGGGAGCAGGCTTTGTCGTCTGTGCAGGGGTGATCTGGGGGCTTCAAGGAGTGGGGCTGGGGCTGCGCCCCTCCTTTCAAGTTCTTGCCTTCCCTCGAAAGGCTGAGGTAGCCAGAGTCTCAGTTTGGGATTGGCTCTGCTACTCGAAGGGTCTATGTCTTTGGGCAAATCATATCTCTTTGGGCCTCAGGTCCTCAATCTTAAAATGATCATGATTACCAAACATACTCCCTGATGAAATGACTGTTGGCTATGAAGTGCTAGATATTAAATATCATCAAGTTTCAGCCTCACCTTGAGGAAGGAAGTGGGACTACAGGAGACCCTGCAGCTCAGCCTAAGGAGATGGGGCATTTGAGCCAGGTTGGGAGACCACTTCAAGGCCAATCCAGACCAGGAGTGATGGTGCCAGCACTTGGGAAGCTGGGGCAAGAAGATCACCTCAAGTTTGAGGCCAGCCTGGAATACATAACAAGATGCTGTCTCAAAAAAACAAAAATAAAAACAAAACAGGCAAAAATAGGCAGACCAGGGCCAGGGATTTAGCTCAGTGGTTCCACTGCCTGCCTCATAAGTGCAAGGTCCTGAGTTCAATCCCCGGTACCAAAAAAAGAGAAAAGAAATAGGCAGACCAGGGGCATCTGGATACCAAGTGGGAGGGGCAAGCAGAGCACACCTGTCAGTCTGGGCTGGCAGACGTGCAAAAGGGAAGGATTGGCAGTCAGCAAGTATCTGAAAAGAAGGAGGAGGGCCAGGGATTTAGCTCAGTGGCACTGCGCCTACCTCAAAAGCACAAGGTCCTGAGTGTGATCCCTGGTATCAAAAAAAAAAAAAAACGGAGGAAAGATGCACGAAGGGGATAGGCAGAATGAGAGAATTTGATGCCAAACTCAGAAGAGCCCATTACTGCCTGAGAATCAAGGAGCTGGAAAGAACTGCCCCAAAGCTGCCAGTACCTCCAGAATTTTGTTAATATAAAACTCTACACTCTTGCTGAGTGCGGGAGTATACACCTATAATTCCCACACTCAGGAGGCTCAGGCAAGAGTTTCAGGCCAGCCTGGGGTACATGGTGAGTTCAAGCCCAGCCTCTACTACATAGCAAGATCCTGACTACCAAAAAACAAAAATGAAACACTCCACACTCTCAAATAGGCTCAATCCCCTCACGGCGATACCTGTACCTTTCTAAATCACAAGCCCCCATCCAAGGCAAGAGGCCTATGCAAGACTAAACTTGAAGTCTCCTCTTGCCAAGGCACAGGCTTAAAGTGCAGGATACACTACTGAGATCTTATGACTCCACATTTCTGGCTCAGCCAAGCTGGATCAAACATCTGTATCCTCACAAATTGGAGATGACAGGGAACTGAGGCCCAAAGAGAGCTAATTTTGTCTTTCTAGACCTGAAACTAACACCACAGTACTGGATATTCTCTTCCAAAGAAGTCAGAAGGGCACAGTGCTCCCCAGCAGGAAATCCCCAACATAATCCAGAAAACACAGCAGCCCTAAAGCTATATTCTGATCCAGCCTCTCAAGAAACACCACAGGAGCAGGGTAAACACCTATAAGCCAAAATTACCTGGAGACAGCCCCAGGGTAGAATCCAGGTAGAGCTACACTAAATCATGTTACTGGAGTCTGACTAAGCCACCATGAGGGAGGGTCTCCCTGCTCAGACAGCACCACTACAACTGCCACCACTACAACTGCCTTGTGCCACAGAGGAAGGCCTGTGCCAGCTCTTTATCTGGTAATGCAGGGAGTGAATCACTCCTTATGGATGGGCAGCTGAAGCGAGGAAGTGGTTTATACTCAAGGGTCCTGTGACCATTAATCCTGATCTGTCAACTACATTGGGTGAAGGAATGCCTAGCAAATTAATGCTCCTCAGTGTATCTGAGTGGATCTTGGAAGCTTGAGTACTATATATGGTCCTTGTCCTTTCCTTCCTGGAATTGTTTCGTTCCTCTAGTTCCCAGCCACCACAAAATAAGCAGCTTTACTCTACAGGCTCTTCCATCATGCAGTGTCTACCTTGGAGCCAGCTGACCATGTACTGGACCTCTTGAAACCATGAGCTAAATTAAACCTCACTTCCTTTAAATTGTGGGTATTGGGTACTGTCTTGACAAAGGGAAAGCTGATTAACACAGCCCCCAATCTGCAAGGCAGACCACCTAGGTCAGCAATTGTGAACATTTTGGTTTTCAATAATAACAAAGAGCCAGGGCTGTGGCATGTGTGCCACAGGTTCACCACCACCAACCTAGGTACTTGTCTCAATTTGTGCATCTCAAATGCATTCTTCAACCTCCAGTTCCAGATCTGTGATTGGAATGACTCACTGATTCTAAGTTCCATGTACATTCTAGCATTCAGTTTTTAACAAGGTAAATCAATAAATGGCAGCAAACTCATTAGTCCACAGTGGTGTTTCTGACATATAAGTTGGAGCTATGGCAGTCTCCAAAAGCACACCAAACACTGCCTCACAACATGATGTCATGAAACAACAGCCAATTTTCCTTTATGGAACCATTGCTTCCCAAATTGCTGTCTCTGTGTCATGTCATCCAGGTCTGCCCAGTGAAAGCAAAGGGGCACCCAGTCCAGTGCTTAAGCCAGGGCTGAGCATGGGTCCAATGAGGGAGTCCCTGTAGGAATCCCAGGAAGGGGTCCTGGGAGGACTGAGGCCTGCTCCAGGGCGAGGAGCCTCCTACCTCCTCCTACCATGGGGAATCTGAGGGGAGAGCATTCCCCCTACACTCAGCCGGCCATATCCTCACATAGGTGTGGGCACACATTCCCTTTAATCAAAGGACACTGTGAGTCGGATTTCTGACCTTTGTAATTGAAAAAACCAAACTGATACAATTCCCTCCACAACCATTTTCCATTTCATTTAAAAGAACTTTAAAAAGCCCGTGTCACTTGTCGTTGACAGAAAAAAACTGCCCTGGACTTGTACTTTAAGACCTTTCCTTGATAGGTCAAGGAAGCTCACAGACCCACTAGAGCAGAAGTGGCTTGGGAGCCAATGCTCTGGGATTCCCAGTAGTAGCTCAACTCTTACTGTGACCGAAGTCCTCCCACCAGTGACACTGCAGAGTCACATGGTCAGTAACAGAGGCTCTGATATGCACGGATGACCTGGGGACAGCACTGACCACTGCCAAAGCCCTCCAGCCACAAAGACTCAGCAGGGAAAGCTGCTATTATTCCTTTTGCTATCTAGCTATGCCCTAAACCAGTTGAAGTACTCTAAGTAAATAGAACATGACCCCGAGCTTTGAATGCAATAAAAATCAGGTTCCATTCCTCATCTTACAACAGATTTTTGCGTGGGTGGAAGTTGAAGAGTCTTTCCAAAACTCTCAACCTCTAAAAATCACCTCTGGCTTTTCAAATGACAGCAGACATACCTATCCCACTAACTTCCTGGACACTATCCCTTAGATAATATATCTTACACTACCCCAAAGGACCTCAAATCAACCTGCCCCAAACACAGTCTAAGCCCCTGAAACCTGGCCCTCTTCATATATATTCAGTTTCTGAGAAAGGGACCACACTATCCATCTAACTATGAAACATCAAGAGTCATCTGTGACCCTCCTCCCTGTTACCTCCCACAGCAAATCTATTATAAAGCCCAACTAATTTTTACCACTTGGATTGCTCTAATCTTCCAATTTCTCTCTACATCTACAACCATCCAGTCTGACATCATTTACCTATAGTAGCTTCCTAACTACTGAACTCCAGATCTACCAAAGAAACTGTCTACAATTCTTTTTCCACACAGAAACAAAAACAATCCTCACTAATGCAAATCCCTTCAGATTCCAAACAGTTTTGGAAAGACTCCCCCACTACTTCCAACTCCTCCCAGCAAAACAATCAGATCTCCCAATGTTCTGTAGCAGAGGGACTCCACAAATGCCAACGTGGTCCCAGGTCTGCCTGCTGAGTGGCAGGGACATCTTGAAACCAGAACGGAACAGATGAGTCTGGGAGTTGCTGGTCAGCTCAGCACCCTGGTCCATGTCCTGGGTGGCTTTAAACTCCTGGGTCTGGCTCACAATTGGCTCAGGCTCACCAGGACTTCCCTCCACTCACCACCCCACCCCAGTGCAGAACTCATCTGACCTCGGATGGGAACTGGAGCCGGCGCCAGGCAGGGGAAACCCAACTGGGCTGAAGCCAGGGGCTGTGTATTTCAGGAAGAAGAGACAATGGAGCAAGAGCCACACAACAGACTGTCAGGACCTGCAGGGCCACCCAGAGCAAGCAGCTATCTGAGGATAAAACCCAAGGAATCTATCTCTCCCGTCTTATACTGATCCCTGGCCTCCTTGCCTTTCATGCGAAACAAACTGACATTAACACCTCCCACACTTCCTGCAGGCACAATCTTCTCTGGCCAGCCCAGCATGAGCCCTGGCAGGAAAGCCTACCCTTCCTCCTTGTCTCAGTGGGGTTTAGGGCCCATCTCTGCCCAGACCAGTCTGTCCCAACCCCCCTCCCCCTTGGGCAAAGAGCCAAGGAACCTAGGCTCTACTCAAACTAGTCTCCTTGGGGTCCCCAAATGGACCCTGCTTTTTCTGTTTCAGCCTTTGCATCTTGTCACATGTGACCTATTCCTCACCATCTTCCGTCTCTCGATGGGATCTGCCTGTGAACCCAGGTCTTGCTTGAAATCCTGGCTAGATCAGAACTCCAGGGGAAAAGGGTGGAGGGATTTGGAACAGAGAGAACAGGAACTGTGTTAATAGCCTCCCCAGGGCCTGACCTGTGGCCAGCATAGGAGGGGAGGAATGTGATGAGATACCTGCCTGAACCCAGCCCCAGCTGGGGCAAGAGTCGGAAGGGGGTGAGGAACTACTGACAAGAGGGCCAGCTCCCTTGGCTGCAGGAGCCTACATGCTCCAGAGATATCAGAGTTCGCTGCTGTAGCTTAATGCATCCAAGCAGATTAGGAGAAAGGGCAAACCAATTTCCAGGCATCTAGATCGCTCAGTGGCAGCCTAGTCCCCAACTCTGCCTCCCGACTCCTCTGTCATGTTGACCATGTGGTTTGAGTAAATCCCTCAGCAGTCCTCTGCACTTTTTATTCACAGAGGACACTGAGGCCCAGAGATGGGCAACAACTCATCCCTGGGTCACACAGCACTGCTTGGGGGCCAACAGAGAGCCTGCTGGTCCCTCATGTTCTGCACTAGATGAGTGGCAGGGTGGGCCCACTACCCAGGATGGGCAGGAACTGCTAGGACTGGTAGCATGCGTAGAAGATGTCCTGCATAGTACTTCACCCAGCTCTGAAGGAAGTGAAGAACGAAGACAGCTGGGTTTCCACCAAGGAAATGCAACTTGAGAGACTAAAACTCACATTTTATCTTAGAAGTTTCCCCACTGTTGCTTAAAGGTTAAGTAGGGATTGCTTTGCAGGTGCT